GCTGGCAGAGTGGCTTAAGGTGAAGGCCCTGAGTTCAAGCCCAAGTACTACCAAAAAAAATTAGTCTTTTGAATTTTTTGTCTGGCCTTTCATCCACTTGGACAGTTCTGGATTCATTTACTGAAAATTTATGAAGTTTCACAAGAGCTAATTTCCTATTTTTTTCATATTTGCTGTGTTTCTACTTTGTGATTTGTACATCTCTTCCACTTTTGTGTGAGGGTCTTATTACAGAGCAGCCTTCTCTTTAGAATTAAGTCTCAAGTTTTACTTAGAGAGAGAGGAAAATAACACTAACAATATCAATACAGAGATAGAGAAGTATGAGAAAAACCAATTAGAGAACTCTACTACCCCACCAATGACTATGCAAAGAAATGAGCAAAAATAATGTAAACTATGAAGTTAATTAAAAGGGAAAAGTAATGTTAATAAAAAAATAAAATGTGGAAAAGGAAAAAAGAAGAAGCAAAGTTAAAGACAAAGAATAGGAAGAAAAATTTTTTAAAGCCAGGCATGGTGGCTGAAGCCTGTAACTCTACCTACTCGGGAGGTGGAAATTGTTAAAACAGCAGTCTTAGATTAGCCCAAGAAAATAGCATGTGAGACCCCATCTCAACCAATGGCTGGGTATGGTGGCATATGCCTGTCATCCCAGCTATGTGGGGAAGCACAGGAGAAAGGATCACAGTCCAGGCCAGCCTACACATAAAACAAGACACTATCTCAAAAATAACCAATTCAAAAAGGGCCAGCAAAGTGGCTCAAGAGGTAGAGTTCCACTTAGCAAGCATGAGACCCAGAATTCAGCCACCAGTACCATAAAAAAAATCCAGTTACAAAATAAAGAAAAACTAATAAGACTGAAAGAGGAATAAAAAATAAGAATTCTTTAAATATTGAAAAGTTTTAAAACAAAGAATTAAAAATTTTAAAAATTAAAAACACAGAAAAGAGTGTCAAGAAAAAGAATTGAACATGCTGCTTTCCTAGTCCTCTAAGAATCTACCAGATCTGTGGTGTGTGTATGTGTAGTGGGTTGTTGCTTTAGTCTATCAGTCCTTCTGAGTTGGACACTGGTGGCTCACGTCTGTAATCCTAGCTACTCAGAGGCAGAGATCAGGAGGATCATGGTTCAAAGCCAGCCAAGGCAAATAGTTTGAGACCATATCTTGAAAAAACAAAAACCAACACAAAAAGGGCTGGCACTGCGGCTCACATGGTAGAGTATCTGCCTGGCAAGTGTGAAGCCCTGAATTCAAATGCCAGTACCAACAAAAATATTTTTTTCTATTTCCATCATGATTGGTTTTGTAGGCTGTTAGAGGGTTTGGGAATTTCACCTGCAAAAAACCCTCTGGGTTCTCATAATGACATTCAGAAGAAACTACCTGTCTGCTTCTGATGTTGGGGAAAGACGATTCACTTCAAAATTTCTGGGTTTTGCATAAATCCTGGTTTGAAAAACATTTCCCAAATGTGTAATAACTTGGGCAATTCCCAGAGCCCAAGGATTACATGGAAGTAACAGACACTCTCTAATAGCCCTAACTCAACATCAGTAAAAGAGCATCTGAGATATGCTTTCTACTATTGAAATGTCCACTCTCCAACAATAAAAGAAAATGGTAACAAATATGGAGAAACAGAGAAATATGGTTAATCAATGGAAATGACTACAGAGAAACAATTTCCAAGAAACTTTAGGCATTGGACTTATTAGAAAAAGACATACTGGCAATTAAGAAATACAATGAAAGGGGTGGAGGCACCCAGGGCGAAAGGCTAACAGAAACAAAGAAATAGCATGTCTGAATGAGATGATATCAATAAAGAAATAGAAATCATCATAAAAAACATACAGAAATAGAAATTAAGTTATAAAGTACAACTTAGTCATTACTAGAGGTGCTGGATGGCAGACTAGAAGAACAACAAAGAATCAACATGAAGATTAAAAAATTGAAATTATGCAGTCAGAAGAAAATAAAAATGAGAGAATGTGTCACTGGTATCTGCAATGCATGAACTGTGGAAAGGAGCTCTCTATAGAAAAGGAAAAAGATGTTAAGAACTCAAATGATAGAGTGTTTGACTGAGTAGAGAGTGTAGGACAGAATTAAATGGATATACAATAAAATCTTTACTTTATTCCTAATGTATTCTCAGAAAATGTTTGCTCAAAGTAATGACAACTTCATGTAGTAGGTGGTTAGAGCTAAAGATATGTAAAATGAATGACAGCAATTTTTTACAGAATGGGAAACAGGATTTGGAAACAAACTGAGATACCTGCACTACCCCTGAAATACTACATTGCTATTTGAAAGTGCATTTCCATTAGCAGTAAACAGATTTTCACAATCTGGAGAAATCACTAACAATATATAGAAAAAATGCTCAGTTAAAATAAGATAGAAAACATGGGAAGCTTATACATAGTCTAAAATAAATAGTAAACTGTTATATGATACAACCAAATACATGATGAAATTAAATGCAAATTATCTACACAAGACCAATCAACAGACAGTGACAGAACAGATTAGAAAATAAGACTCAAGTTTCTTTTCTTTATAAGGAAAATCATTTCACATGGGATGTGGAGATATTCTTCAAAGGGTTCAAAATTACAGTTGCAAAGGAGAAATAAGTTCGAGAGATGTCTTATATAATATGATGACTGTAACTAAGAACATTGTATTATACTCTGAACAAAACAGTCTTAAAACTAATAAATGATTTTATATCATGACCTTAATACACAACCATGTGGCATTTTACTATATTTACTACAAAGAAGTTTAAAAAAAAAAAAAGAACACCACTTATATAGCATAAAGAGACAAGAAGGCTTGGAGGCGTGGCTCAAATGGTACAGTGCCTATCTCATAAGCAGGAAATCCTGAGTTCAAACCCCAGTACCACCAAACAAATAGACTGTGTAAGAAGGGAGGGAGGACAGGAGGATGGTGGAGGAGAGAGGAGAGAAACAGTACCATAAAGAAGCTGGAATGCTAGATGGACAAATCTAATGAATTAAATCATTCCAAATGTTGGCAAAATACACAATAAGCAAACATCCATAAAAGGTCAGGTGATAAACTCATATACATCAAAACTTCTACTAAATTTGAATTATCCATAATCTGCACACCAGCAAATTTCCCCCATTTGTTACAAATTTTTTTTTGATGCATTGGTTAGGGACAAGAAAAGGATAACAATGACAACATCAAAAAACAAAACAAAACAACTCAACCCATAAATAGAGGAATGAGTGAGAAGAGGCTGATGTACAGCCTTTACCCTTCACCACATGTGCAAAGAGTCAGGCAGAGAAGCCACCATGATACCACTGATAGATTAATATTTACTCATTAGCAATATTAAATCATTCAAAACAAACATGACCAAGCAAATGATGCTTACTGACAAATGGTACCGAGCTAGATGAGGTCAGAAAGATATACCAGGGTGTACTTAATCACCTACACAGCAGTCACTTGGATGTTTCTGTTTTTCTTTATTTTTAATGGTTTTAACTCAGGGCCCCACACTTGCTAGGTAGGCGCTCTATCACTTGAGCCATTCTACCAGAGGATGTTTATGTTCTTATTTAAACCTGTCTGAAGCAAATAACTTATTCCAAGAATTCTCTGTTTCCTCAGACCTCTTTACTCTAGTCATGGAGGATCAAATGAAGAAAGTCACCATCTTACACTCACACTATGAAAGATAGGCAAGCAGCCTGTTTCATCTACACTTCATAAGGAACCCACACTAAGAAGATGCTTCAAAAACTTCCTAAGCTTGGAGACCACTCCCTGTGGGCAGGCACACCCCAGAGTGGCTCACTGCCAGGAAATGAATGAAGTAAACTTTAGCCAAGAAATGCAATTCTGGCACCTCTTGGCACCCTTCTCTCCTTTCCTCCCATCATGGAAAGGCTACTTCCTTCATAGACCGAATTTTGACCAGTCCCTACTCACTGCGCAAAGGTCCTTAAAGGTTATAATCTGTGCTGTATTTGTCTGCCATCATTTTTGACACCAAAAATGTGATTTTGTTAAACACCAACCAATTCTCCCACACCAACTGAGTGTCCTGCAACTCAACTCTGACACCACTTCCACTTAGCACCATCCCTACAACTTCAGGGCTCAATCCCACCACACTGCATCCACTGCTGATAAAGAGCCCATAGCATGTGTTTGCTCTGTCTGGTCACCAGTCTACGTCCTGAACAGATACAAGGGTGGCACCCTGAGTCACCTGATTAATATAAATTAAGACATTGTTTGAAAGGGACATATGAAAAACAACACAAGGACACTCCTATTCTCAGGAGATTCCAAGGGTGTTTAGGATCTCTGTGCCAGAAACTGACATAAAGACCAATTTAAAAACATTATATTACATACAGTTACCAACTCTCACATACACAGCAGGCAGAACCCAAAGGTGTCTTTTTCACAGACTGCCCCTCTCAGACTTTCTTAAGTGGCAGAGACTATACTGTCTAGACCAAATACCTGAAGGCAAGAGGAAACCAGTGAAATTATTATTCCTGTGAGCTGAATGGAATACTGGTAAAAAGCTTTGATTAAAGACTTCTAACATCAAGATCTTTTCAGTTTTGGAGAAGCAGCATAGAGCAGACAAACACCCTTTCATTATTGTTACACTGGACCACCCACACCAATTCCCCCTCATCCCTTTAACCACTGACACGCCCAGATGCGTTTTCTCAATTTTTGCCTCAAATATGCGTACCAGGCTGGATGCGTGACTCAAGAGGTAGAGCACCTTTCACAAGTGTGAAAGCCCTAAGTGCAAACCCAGAACCACCAAGACAAATGAATAAATATAAATCTCAGCTGGAATTATCACTGCAAGCAAAACATTTATGAAGCAAATTCTACGTTTCTTTCCTTATTAGGGGGCTGCGACTTTGACCCATCTAACCCTGACCCAGCTAAGAAACCATTATCCCCAACCTCGGAACAGATGAGCACAGGGTAACTTTCTCCACTAGGATTCTGACATCCCATCGCCCCTCCTCTCCCAATTTCCTCCTACTGTTGTTCTCTCATCCCGATGACAGCAAGGCCTTCTCTGCCTAAGGTATGAGATGCCTGCACACCTTACCCTTGGGGCTTCCCAACAGTATAACACTCTGGTAAAGCAGTAATGTCCTTGCCTGGTGCCCGTGGCTCACGCTGTACTGTAATCCTAGCTACCTAGGAGGCAGAGACCAGGAGGATTGCAGTTCGAAGCCAGCCTGGGAAAAAAAACCCATCACAACAAACAGGGCTGGTGGAGTGGCTCAAGGTGAAGGTCCTGAGATCAAACCCCAGTACGGCAAAAAAAAAAAAAAAAGAAAGAAAGAAGGCATGCCCTACGTTAATCATCATTTCGTTCTAAAACAATGCCGAATCGGTCTGAGGACAGCGCGTCACAGAGGGCAAACATGTCTCCCCTCCTCTCCAACGGCAACCGCGTGTGCACGTGGATCCTCACTTCCAATGGGTCTGAGGGAACGAGACAGGTCGCCGAATTTAAGCCCCATTTCCCTTGAACCTGAAAGTCTCACAGGAAACGCGGGCCCCACGCTAGAGAAAGGACAGATGGGTCCCCGCACAGCAGCGCCCCGACCCCGCACGCACAGACGTCATAAACAGCAGGGAGCCGTCCATGGCCTCCCGCATCACCGCACGGTCTGGGAAGACTTGGGTTTGCGGGTGAAGCTGTCCAGCGAGGGCTGCGGGCTGGGACGAAGTCGCCTCAGGGGACTCAGGACAGGACGGGGTTCCGGCCGCTTGACCAGTCCCATCCCACAGGCCGCTGGGGACCCAGGGTCGGGGCGCCAAAGGTGGAATCAGATCGCAGAGTCCGGAGCCCAGGGGACCCAGGCAGCGCCACCGCCGCTTCCGGTTCCAACGGCCCCTCCCCCCACGGCTGCAGAAGGCCTGTGCCGCTCTCACCATTTCCCGCTGTCCAGGTGCGTCCAGATGTCCTCCCTGTGGTCCTGAAGTCAGCGGAGGTGACACAGCTACCGAGGCTGAGACACCCGCAACCTCTTGGCAGCCCACGTGAACCGCAACTACGGGGCCACCAAAAGTACGACAGCTGTGCGGAGCCAATGGCGACCTCCGACCATCGGGGCTCCTCATTGGTCAATTCGGGCGGCTAAAAAAGAGAGTCACTGATTGGCCTGAGACACAACGTAGAATTCTCAACGTAGATAAACAGAACCAATTGACGGACTGCGCTAGGCGCCCACGCCAGGCATGTGTGATCCTAGCTACTCAGGAAGCAGACATCAGGAGGATCACGGTTCGGAGCCAGCCCAGAATAGTTAACAAGACGCTGTCTCAAAAACCTCATCGTAGGGCTTCCAGAGCGGGCCCCTGCTTCTTTTGTACTCAGTGAGCCCGTCCTGCTTATTCCTCCTGAAATGGGGCCACAAGTGTGTTCAGAGAATGCCGGACTTGGTTGCCCCATGCAGAAAACCTGTGACATCAGAGGAGAAGATTCTAGGGCAGGACTGGACACTGGAACTGGGGGAAGGGATTTGGAATGAAACAGATGGCCAAGGCTTTTCTCATGTTTCAATCTATCCATTTTCAGTCAAGAACATAAAAACCACACCAACAAGGAATACAATTATTCGACGCATGGAGAAAATGGAGCTGCATGCCAGCAGTATTCTACAAAGGATGCAAGAGGAAAGAAAAGATATCAAAACCAAAATCTCTAGTAGTGTAGGCACATGGCAGCCACCTAAAAGGGATGCCTGCTATCAAAGGAGTAGGAAGGAAAACACCAATGCCTCCCCTTGCAAGCTTAAGCTGGGCTTCAGCCTGGAGTCACTGGCCTGACTCTGCTGCCAGTCACTCCAGGTTACTGATCTGATTCACACCAATACTGAGGTTTTCACTTTCTTAAATTACCTCTTTGAAATGGTCTTTCATGATAGATGGGGATATTTTTGGGATTGAGATCCTGCAGAACGTCGGGATTCCCTTATCACACCTATGACCTTTCTGACATTCATGAATACATGACAGCTCTCCAAAATGTATCATGAGAAGCTGAGAGAATACCTTTTTCTTAGTCATTGCTGATACTCAGTACCAAGAATACTTCCATAGCAAATGAGTGAAAAGACACATTTTTGATTCTGAGAAAATAAAACAGACAGATATGCTGTGAGATTGTAGTAGCAAAGGAGTATGACAATGACTAGCTTGAAGAAAGAGGTGGCATTTTACCTGGAGCCCTGAAAGACAAAGCAGAATTTCCCAGTCAATGTTACAGCGCTATTCTTGGAACAGAAAACTGTGTAAGCAATGGCATGAAGGTGAGCTGGGCATGGATGGAGTGAAAACAGGAAATACAGACCAGGGATAGACACTGAAGGAGCTAAGATCCACAGGTAATGGTCACAGTTGGGCCAGAAAGAAGCCAGTTAAAGCTCAAGTATTGTGTGGATTGAGGATAGATTCCAAGTGGAATCAGACAGTAATGTCAATTTTCTCCCTATGTTATGGGTAGATGTATTCTGCCCCATGTCTAGTTTATTGGAGAAACAGAACTATAAGGAACTGCTGAACAGAGACTGCACCACGTGTAGAAAAGAAAGATTTATTGGGGCACAGACTGCTGGGCTGACTCTCTCAGATCCAAAGTGCAGCAGCCTGGGTAAATTGGGTTGTGGGCTTTATAGGAGGGACCACCCATCAAAGGGGGGAGGGTATCTGTTTCAGAGAACAGCTGGGTTTTTGGGCCCTGATTGTCAATGATCACCAGATGGAATGGGCCAACATGTACCACGAGTTGAAAAACAGGAACTTGTTGAGGTTTTGCAAGCAGGGGAATTTTACAAGTGGTTATACTTCAGGGGGCCTTGCTAAAGATAGCATAGCCTTGGGATTTTCCACCCACCCTATGGACACCAGGGACCTAACAAAAACTAAGCTCATGTTTGTTCATTCATAGCACCTTTCATCAGTTCACAATTAATATGGAAAGGACCTGATAAAAGGACAGTCTGTCAACAAAAGAATGCCTGATCTGGGTTTTGATGGCTCACACCTGTAAACCTAGCTACTCAGAGGCAGATATCAGGAGGCTAGAGGTTCGAAGCCAACCCAGGCAAATAGTTCGAGACCTTATCTTGACAAAAAAACTCACAAAAAAGGGCTAGTGGAGTGGTTCAAGGTGTAGGCCCTAAGTTTAAACCTCAGTACAAAAAAAAGAATGCTGGGTTCAGTGCTCTTATCCTTCACTGATGCTTCTGAAACCCAGAGGCAAGAGAGGGAAAGGAGCCAGGAGTCAGGCCTAAGAGTGAAGAGGACATGGCCCAGGTTCACAGTTTGCTACTTCTCACAGTCCTACTTCTCCTGGTATTCACCCCATAGGAGGCAATTCTAGTGTTCCCCATGGAGCTTCTTGACACAATCTTCAGAATCCTGGGTATTGCTGCTTCCCCTATAATCTCACTTGTGTGAAAAGACACAAATAACTTTAGGCTGAAGAAATGTCCCATCCTTTGCTCAAGGCTGACTAACCTGACCTTGTCCCACCAAAGCAAAAGTCAAGTCCCTTCAATACTTAAATTTCCAAAGAGAACTCTAACATCAGAGTAGTAATCTGGCCAAATTCACTCACTTTACAGGAGAATATGAGGTCCAGAAAGAAGAAATAATGAGATTAAGTGTCATGGGTTGGCTTGGCACTGTTCTGGCCACCAGCATGGTACCACCTCTGATTAACGAGCATTTGGTGCCTCTCTTCCTGTATATATGATGCAGTCTCCAGAAGTGACTGAGTCTGAAGACAGCTCTGTGAAGTTGGCCCAGGGATGTTTTTGTCCCTCTGTTTCCACACTGGCAAATGGTAAGTACATGTGGACATCAAGCCCAAAGCATGTAGACACCCATTCAATGTAGGTGCTTGGCTGAACAATCGAGTTCCTTTCACTTCCCAATACTCTCCGTTCTTCTTGCTCAATCATTCATTCCAAACATATTTCCTGAGCCGTGAATGTCAGATCTGGCCCCTCTTAGCTAATGATTGGGAGCTATGGTGCCTGCTGGGAAACTTGTGTGGTGGTGGTGCTGGACTGGTCTTGCCAACCCCAGTCCCACAGCATGGAGAAGGGAATGTGAGGACCTTCCATTTCCTGTTTTGAGGTCATAACCTCCCATCAGCTCCCTGTCTTCCCCCACCCATTCTCTCCACTTCATCATTTAGGGATTTTATGCAGGTTCTTCTATATCCACATGATCGATTATGTCATTGTTGAGTGATGGTTAATTCAGTTTTTAGTCCTTTTCCCTTGCCCAGAGATCTGGGGGGCATGGCTGAACATTCCAACCCTGTGACAATGACATACAAAAAATAACTTTAAATGCTCCAACCTTTAACCAATCTTTTTTCTTTCTAGCTACCTGAGAATTCCCTATTCTGAAGCTATCTAGGGCTTCCAGATGACCAGTCATCTCATCAGCATGAAAGAGACAGTCTACACTTCAGAGATTCCAAGATCTGAGGAACCCCTTGGGTCAGAAACCTCAGACTAAGACATCTAGGGTGTAATATTCAAGAGTGCCTTCCATCAGCAGGTGGTGTGGCAGGTTCTGCAGAGTAGCAGCTAGGATCATGTCCTTGATATGATCCCAAGTTATCACCATGGGCTGGCAGAGTGGTTGCCTAGCAGGCCCTGGGTTCAAACCCCAGCACTGCCAGATACACCAAAGTTTTCAATGACTTTTTTTTTCTGCAGTACAGGGACTTAAACCCAGGGCGTTGCGCTTGCTAGGCAGGCGCTCTACCACTTGAGCTACCAGTATTGAGTGTTTTCAAGACAGGGTCTTGTAAACTATTTGCCCAGGCTGGCTTTAAACCACATCCTCCAGATCTGTGCCTCCTGAGTAGCTAGGATTACAGATGTGAGTCACCAGCACCTGGCACACTCAACAACTATAAAGATAGGACCACAAAGGAGAGACCTGGAGAGTTGTCCAAGGAACCTGGAAAAGCTGAG